GAGCACCTCGTGGAGGCTGAGCACCTCGTGGAGGCTGAGCACCTCGTGGAGGCTGAGCACCCCGTGCTGCTGAGCACCCCGTGCTGCTGAGCACCCCGTGCTGCTGAGCACCCCGTGCTGCTGAGCACCCCGTGCTGCTGAGCACCTCGTGGAGGCTGAGCACCCCGTGCTGCTGAGCACCTCGTGGAGGCTGAGCACCCCGTGCTGATTACCCTGTGCTGAGCCTGACTGCAACAGCTGCACCTGTCGGTAAATCGCGAGAAGCTCGAGGTTCGACAGTTGATTCGAGAACGGCAAAGGACTGAGAAACAATGCTAAAATACACGGGCATCCGTGGCTTTCCAGCAGGGACCGTCCAGAAAGTACGTCCGTTATTCTCGCAGAACTCAGTAACAGTAACAGTAATACCCACGTCAGTGTTGACGCTAAGGTCGCAGCCGCTGCAAGCTCTCGTAGCGCCTGTTGGGTAGGCAGCATCTCGCCTGCGGTGCATGCGTGTAGTGCGGGCTGGCCTACCCCGAGTCTCGCAGGCGCCGAGCTGCCGTGGCGAGCCGAGCTGACCCGAGATAAAGAAACGCGGACTTTCTTTCTGGACGATCCCTTAGTAATCTGGTACAGCACATTGCGATGCTGTAGTGTGGATAACAGAGTTCACGAAACACAAGCGTGATTTTCGCGTAAGGGGTGATTTTCACGCTTCGTACGCTTCACTTCAGCCAAACAGGAGCCGATTTTCATCACGCTGGCCGTGAAAATCACGCCTGACGTGAGAATCACGCTCGCACGCTCGCGTTTAGCGAAGTCTGTATCCACCTTTACAGGGTTCAGCACCCCTCGGCGCTCGGAGGAGAATCGCGCGGTGCGAGCCCGTCGGCGTCGACCCCGCCCCGCGGATCTCATTCTCGCTACAGGGTAGACGGTAGGCTCGACGGTGGTCGGGGTCGTTGCGCACGTCGCATGCGAGGACCACAAAGAAGAAGACTGAGATGCACGACGCTCCGGCGCCCTCCCTCCCCTATACGGCCCCGCGGCGGCAGGCCTGCCCTTGCTCTCCTCGGACGCCCCTCGGACCCCTTCCCGTCGGCCCGACCCCGAACCCGTCGCGCGGGCGCGAAAATCGATGTCGGCGACGGGCGCAACACCCATTCAAGTCGAAGGCAATCCGGGCACGCGGGAGAAGAAGTGGGGCCCTTTGCGCGAGCGCATGTGTGAGTGTGCATGCGTGTGTGAGTGTGCATGCGTGTGTGAGTGTGCATGTGAGAGTGTGCATGTGTGAGTGTGCATGTGTGAGTGTGCATGTGTGAGTGTGCATGTGTGAGTGTGCATGTGTGAGTGTGCATGTGTGTGTGTGTGTAAGTGTGCATGTGTGAGTGGGGGCGCGCGTGCGTGAAAGGGAAAAGGAAACGACGCGCGGCGGGGGTGAGCTTGCGGCAAGTGTCCCGAGATTTACTGTTATTATCATATCACGGCGGTATTTTCGTTCCACACACTTTTGCTTCCTTTTTTTCTCTCTCTCTCTCTTTTTAATAATAGCAGACTGAAGTGGAAAACACGCCGTGTGGCTTGTCGTTGTTGTTGTTTTGTTGAAGTTGTTGTTTCATTATGTGCGGCATGCAGCCACCACCACCTGACCCGTCGGCCACGCCACCACCGCGACGGTGGCCGCGGGCCGCAGGGTGCCGCAGGGCAGGAGCGCGGGCGACAGAAGCAACAGCGGGCCTGTTCTGCATGCATGTATACACCGCGTACACAACGGCAGGTTCAACAATAAAAAACAACAACAACGGGAGCCGGGCCCGCGCGCGGGACCCCGTAGGGCCGCGGTGCCGGGCCGCGCCGGGCCGGGTGGTGGG